CTAGTGATTTGACTTGAGTCAGATAATTTTGAGTCTGAATTTATGTGAAGTCAGTAAACCTGTGCAGTTTGTTGAAAATCCTCTTCTGCTGTAGGTTAAAGTTACCTGGGATAAACTTGATAAAGGTGGACCTGAAAAAGGTAATCTATAATGTTTGTATTTTTTTTTTTATATCAACATCATCATCATCATCATCTTTATCATCATCACCGGATGGTGATGATGATAAAGATCTTTGCTAACTCTGAACATCCAAAGAATTTTATATTTTATTATTTTATTAAATTCTGTTTACAGCTTCAGAGGTTCATTGACAAGATGTTTCAGAAGCTGCCAAAGAATCTGAGCAGGTATGAACCTTGATAAGGACGAGTCGGAGGTTTGGGATGATAAAGACTATGAGGCGGAAGCAGAGGATTAAGTCTATTACCAGTTAAAATATTGATTCTGTTATTGTGCTTTATTTATAGGTATTTAATGGGGCTCTGTCCACCACCAAAAATCCAAACACATGATTGGTTGCTGCTGCTTAACACTCACACATTAACAGTGGAAAGGTTTCAGGTTTACTAAGTGATATGAATGGCCCTTCTGAATTTAACCTGGATTAGGTCTTTTTACATCAGACCAGGTTTGTTTCTGACTGCTGCAGTTTGAGTCAAAACTTTATCTCCTTCTGTTCCTCATAACTCAGTCAAATGTAACTGTCACTGACATCAGACACATAAAAATATCAGTCAGTCCTTTATTCTCTTTCTATTTGTTATACTAATGGTTTTTAATAATCGGTATGAATAACACAGTATTGTTATTGAAATCTTTATTTTTACTGTTCTATACTTTTTTTGGTTTGCTTTTCCTCCTGCATGCTTTGGACTACAGAAACCACTTTAAATTTCATGTTGTTCAGCTCTTCAGGGCCATGTGTATGGAAGCAAATCGTGACTAATATTTAAATTAAAATGTATTTGTAGAAATGCTGTCATGTCAATGCAATCATCCTATTTGCATTTTAGTTTTCTTCTTCAAGACTGCTCATTCTTTTACTTAATTAAAATGAAAAAAAAAAGTCATTTGAGATTTAATTTTCAAAACATGCCCCAGCAAATAGATACCAAAATTCAATTTCAAATGTAAAATTTGAAAATTAAAATGCATTTGAGGAAATGCTTTTTCATTTTAAGAATGTGGCTGCAGTATTTGACTCATTAATAAAATTAATAATCAATCATCCTATTAGCATTTTAATTTTCTTCTTCAAGACTGCTCATTCTTTTACTTAATTAAAATGAAAAGAAAAAGTCATTTGAGATTTAATTTTCAAAATATGCCCCAGCAAATAGATACCAAAATTCAATTTGAAAAGTAAAATTTGGAAATTAAAATGCATTTGCAGAAATGCTTTTTCATTTTAAGAATGTGGCTGTATTATTTCACTCATAAATAAAATGAATAATCAAACAACCTATTTGCATTTGCATTTTCTTCTTCAAGACTGCACATTTTATGCCATAATCAAAAAGAAAACAAAGAAGAAATTGCTATTTCATTTTCGTGGTCTGCCCTGCAAAATAGTGCCCATAATTCGAAAATGATTTGGCAATCTGAGCGGCGCAGGAGAGTGACGTCAGTAGCCGCTCTTCTTCAGCTCCGTGCTGACCATGGTGCTACCCATCTAATACGGTAGGGGGCGGTGTGCACATTTGATATATGGATGCATCACAGATCATGGCGCTCCCTGAGATTGTGCTTTCTAAACATCGTAATTTCCCAAAACTGAATAAAAACCACACGTAGCAACACAAAACTGCTTTGCTAGTTCAATCATGTTGTAACTAAGATATCTGCTGGAAAAAAATCATTTTTTCATGGACTGTCCATTGAGTTACAGAGTTAATACGTCTGCTGACTTGACAGTCATTTAAGCTAGTAGCAGCTTATACTTGTACTTATAGCTTATATTTTGTAGACATCGTGATTTCCCAAAACTGAATAAATACCACACAGTCCAGCAACTTTTCCGGGGGAAACCCTGTGTATTGACACGTTAAATAATTTTCATACATACAAAGCTGCCTAATATAATTTAGATCTGCCCTATAAAAGTGTGTATAGCGCACTGAATGAGTGTTTGGTGCGAAGAGGACCTTACAAGTGAGCGCATTGTGTTTTCTTATGATAAGCGGTAATAACATCTTCGCACAAAACACTCATTCAGTGTGCTATACACACACTTTTACAGGACATTTCTAAATTATATCAGACTAAATATTTAAGATTACTTGATATTAAATTGTGCTAATATTAAGATAAATATATAGATAATATAGATAAACATACAGTCCAACAATTCCTTTGATCAATGGATATATTTTTGCTTAAAAATTTAATGCAGAACAGCAAGATGGCATGATGCAATTTAATTTCTATCATGATCAAGATCATGCTGAATTAACAGTAGTGTAAATATATCTACGAAACGTATACAAGTTTACAAGGGTCTTTGTTGACTGCAGCTTGTTAGCTATGGCCTCCAGGCTTATTGCACACTGATGTCAATAGGTACTCCATATCATATCGGTTAATCTTAGCTGTGCATAATTTACTAACTTCACGATGCAGCAGATTCAGTATTTGACAACCATATTTTATGGGTTAGAATCAAACCAAGGCAGCTTTGTATGTATGAAAATTATTTAACGTGTCAATGTCACAGGGTTTCCCCCGGAAAAGTTGCTGGACTGTGTGGTATTTATTTAGTTTTGGGAAATCACGATGTCTACAAAGTATAAGCTCAAGCTGAGTGTATCAGCAATCCAACTACAAAAAATGCCAGTTGAGGGAATCCGAAGCCATTTTTAACTCATGTTGGTGTGCGAAAACGAGGTCCTCCATGGTATGCTTTGAACACTTTATTGACTTACAAAAACGTTAAAAACACCTACAAAAAGCCGACATGGTTGAAAAACTGTGTGGCCTCCCCTGATTCTCATTCCCTGACACTGATCAGCTGTGACTCCCCTATCTAACCTACATGTGACTGATCACCACCTACACCCACAGCTGTGCAGGTAACCCATAGCAACCATAGTGCCTACCATAAACACACCCACATTCACACACACAAACTTACACAAATCTAAATTGGCTGCAACACTGAGAGACATGGCACCTGCTACTAGCTTAAATGACTGTCAAGTCAGCAGACGTATTAACTCCGTAACTCAATGGACAGTCCATGAAAAAATGATTTTTTTCCAGCAGATATCTTAGTTACAACATGATTGAGCTAGCAAAGCAGTTTTGTGTTGCTATGTGTGGTTTTTATTCAGTTTTGGGAAATTACAATGTTTAGAAAGCACAATCTCAGGGAGCGCCATGATCTGTGATGCATCCATATATCAAATGTGCACACCGCCCCCTACCGTATTAGATGGATAGCACCATGGTCAGCATGGAGCTGAAGAAGAGCGGCTACTGACGTCACTCTCCTGAGCCGCTCAGATTGCCAAATCATTTTCAAATTATGGGCACTATTTTGCAGGGCAGACCACGAAAATGAAATAGCAATATCTTCTTTGTTTTCTTTTTGATTATGGCATAAAATGTGCAGTCTTGAAGAAGAAAATGCAAATGCAAATAGGTTGATTGATTATTCATTATATTTATGAGTAAAATAATGCAGCCACATTCTTAAAATGAAAAAGCATTTCTGCAAATGCATTTTAATTTTAAAATTTTACATTTCAAATTGAATTTTGGTATCTATTTGCTGGGGCATATTTTGAAAATTAAATCTCAAATGACTTTTTCTTTTCATTTTAATTAAGTAAAAGAGTGAGCAGTCTTGAAGAAGAAAATTAAAATGCAAAAAGGATGATTGATGATTAATTTTATTTATGAGTCAAATAATGCAGCCACATTCTTAAAATGAAAAAGCATTTCTGCAAATACATTTTAATTTAAATAATAGTCACGATTTGCTTCCATACATGTGTGCTTGTATTCAGCTTATGTCCAGTGTTAATACTTTTAAAAGTACAGAGGTCTTTTCAAGCAATTTTACAATGCAAAGTCAGTAAGTATGTTGGGGAATTGATGGTCACCTCCTGCTTTCCCGTATGCAGCTACTACAACTGCAACTGCTACTGCTGCTTCTCATACTATTACAACTGTTGCCACCACCGCTACTACTACTGCTACTACTACTACTACCACTACAGCTGATTACCACAGCATATTTCCCGATTATCATTCAACAGACGACCAATAACACAAAATCTATGTTTCCTGCCCAGTCAGTATTCCAAATCAATCAGCCTACGTGTAATTGAAAGATTTTTGGTGCATTTGTGCAGTCTTTAATTTATTACGTGCTTGTTTTTGAAGTTGAAAGGTTAAAGGTCAAAAGTGGATTTTTCTGGCTCAATCCCAGATTCAGTACATTTATGATGACAACTTTACACAGACAGCAATGTCACACTGCCTAACTTACTTTGGGAAAAAAACCAACAACCTGTACGGACGTTTACCTAACATGATAGGCTTTGGAGAGCTTTGTTGTTTTTTTAGACTATAGGGAGCCCTCATTTAAGTCCCAGTCCACATGGATGTGGGTATTTTTGAAAACAGGGTTTTTCCCTCGTTCTTTCTCAAAAAAAATCCCATCTACATGAGCACAGTAATAAAAAAAACTGTCTAAATAAAAAAGGTTATTATCACTGTATTTGGTGGTATTTTTGAATGACCCTGTTTCAAATAATAATATCAATAATTCTAATATCATTATTGTGATCCATTCTTTTCTATTAGTGTGGAAGCTGACCCAGCATTCACACTGTTGTTATTCAATTATTATTATCCATCCATCCATCCATCCATCCATCCATCTTCTAACCACTTCATCCTCTTGAGGGTCGCGGGGGGGCTGGAGCCTGTCCCAGCTGACATTGGACGAGAGGCAGGGTCCACCCTGGACAGGTCACCAGACTATCGCAGGACTGACACATGGAGACAGACAACCATTCACACTCACATTCACACCTACGGACAATTTAGAGTTATCAATTAACCTAATCCCCAATCTGCATGTCTTTGGACTCTGGGAGGAAGCCGGAGTCCCACGTTGACATGGGGAGAACATGCAAACTCCGCACAGAAGGGCTCCCACACCTGGGATCGAACTGGGAACCCTCTTGCTGTGAGGCGACAGTGCTAACCACCACACCACTGTGCCGCCCAATTATTATTATTATTATTATTATTATTATTATTATTATCATTCTCCCATACAATTTTCACTCAGTTTCTCCTCCTGCATGCTTTGAGCTACACTGTAGCTGGTTTCTAAAGCTGCTACAGAAACCTTTTCAAATATCACAATGTTCGGCTCTCCAAGGACGTGTGCTTCTATTCAGCTTTAGTCCATCTGCTGCTGCTCCTATAAATATTACTGCTGCTTCTAATGCAACTACTACTGTTGCTACCAGTACCACTACAAGTAGTTTGGATCTCTCTCATCAAATATGAGACCACCCCATGGTGCAGCTCATGCGAGTTATAAGTCTCTGTGGGACTGATGATTGGAGGTTCCAATATTGTCCAATTTGTCTTTCAAAAAATAAGTAAGATCAAGAAAGATAAACGTAATAAGGCAGCAGCAGATGTTACTCCACAACAGAATGGAGCATTCATAACCTCAGACTGTGCTGCACACAGACAGATTGGTTAGAGCACATGTCCACACACCTTGCAATATCAGTGGTTCAATTCCAGCCTACTGCAGTGCATTTAGGCCCCATGATTTTTCAAGCACTTCATTTCAAATTTCTGCATTTCCACCTATGCATTGCAATTCATTCCGCTGCAATTCATTTTCTTCAAGAATAGCATTTTCTAGTTATAGTGTGAATGCTGATTTAGCTTCCATACTTTAATCATTTTCTATAATGGCAGTGATATTACTGCAAAGCTTTTGTTTGTTTCTTTCAGCCCTTTTAGACAATTTATCTCAACAAATTGTCTAAATGAAAATGCAAAACATAACTGAAGCGTTGTCAAAAGCATGCAATACCAAAAGGCAGTGATATAGCCTTAACATTAAAGCCTTACAAAGAAGAAGATGCTGGCCAATTAGAATGCAAACAAAAGCTATTACTGAATATTTTGAAAGAGCACCTGTACATTTATGTGTAAACAAAAATATATATTTTCAGGGGCCTTAAAACACATTTTACATGTGAACTAGGCCTAAGATAGGTGAAATAGTATAAACATGGAAAGGCTGATTGTGATGGAATACGGGCCAGACAGGAAACATTATTTCATTTTATAGATCATCTGTTTGAATAACATTCGGAAATATGATGATAGCCTGGTACCTAAATGCAATGATTCCTCACCAGTGGCTAAAAGCCCTAACTAGGATTACACATTTTTTCAGCTCATTTTATCTGAACTTTATTCACCCACTGTAGGTTCGCTGAGGTCAAATGCTCACTTACAGCAACATCCTGCTTTACTCTCTGTTACACATTTGTACCCGTCCTGGGAATTTGCTCAATACTATCCCGTCTTGTACCACTGGCCACTGTGTTTTGTACTAAAGTGCCAGTGTGAGAGTGCCAATTTGAATTCAAATGTTATGTTTTGAAAAATAATGACTGGTGTTGCTTGGATAATTATTGTGATTTTATTTATACTGCTCATCAAATGCTGCTCATAAGTCCTCTTAATGGTGTTATAGTATCATACAATTGCTAATAACCTTATACAACCTTATACATATGAAAATTATCCTGTGTCTTTTGCTGTAGTTTGAATTTACATAAGATGAAGTTGATACAGGGGAGAATGGAAAAGGTAATGTACACTGTTTGATTTTTTTAACATCATCATCATCATCATTATCATAATTTCTGTCAACACTCTGAACTTCCAAACAAAATATATTATATACTATATATATTTTTTTTTTTTTAAATAAAAATGTG